TGAAAGAAGGTCAATCATGGTATCATGATGCTGCCTTGTTACTTCTTTGAGCATTATCCACTTGGATGGCAAGTTATCAGTCAATCTGCTTTTCAATCTAAGACTGTGGATACACGTACCATCCTGGAAAGGAATTTAAAGTAATATTGTATGTCATTAGATCATGATCACAGCTTTTGCTATTTTGGGCTCCCTGTGCCTGATTCTTTTTTTTGGGCACAGGAAGCCCAATAGGAACTGAAACAGGATTTTGAAAAATTTGTTCTATCACCACTCACACATCACCTCAAATATTTMAATACCTTTTGGCAGTTGTTGCAAACAAGAGGAATGTCTTCTTCTGGTTGGAAAAGATGCTGTCCAGAATACAGAAGAAACAATACACAAGCCATACTCCATGTATCACATGAACAATCAYACATATTGACCTGGAAAAGATTGTAGGGTTATAGAATGGTGTCTCAGAAATCGGGAGGCTTGCCAAAAATTTTCCAAGGCTCGCAACCTTGACACTTATTAGCTGGATCAACTACTACATTTACTGTCTTTGGAAACAGTCCTAAATTTCTTCATTAAGCTTAACCTGGAAATAATAGTCAATCACTTCCCARGAAATGAGGATGGATGAAATGATATGCATTTATCAACATAMMTGTTGATCAGGGGCATATCCAGCTGGTGGGTGCAGGGGGGTGCACTCCCCCTTTGAGACTTTGTATGCTTTGATAATTTCCCTTATTTTGTACCTTCTTTGTGAYCTTTTTGCAGAGTACACCCCTCCTGAGTGTCCTGTACAAAAATCCAGATCTACCCCAGTTGATAAAGTCTATTTACTTTATTTCCAAAAACCTCATATTTAAAGGTCATATTAAAAACACAAAAAACAATAAGGGATCTATAATCATTAGCATCATTGTTAACCTGTGTTTTTGCAGTCATTATGTTCTGGTTCCACTGTTTTACTTCTGGGCTTTGATATCCAGGACTTTGAATTTGCTGAAATGGCTTTAAAGTAAAAACAGCCTTTAAAATATGAAGAGACATCTTAGAATAAGGATTTTTGTAAAAAAAGTACCTGTTTTTCTTCAATAAAACTGAGCCCAAAATCAACAAACTGAAAAAGCTCTGTCTCTGAATTCCACATAAGGTTGTTTGGTTTGATGTCGGCATGGAYCACACGCTTTTCCTTAAGGTACTCCAGCCCACGAGACAAGTCTCTACAGCACTTTTGAACAAYGTAGAGGGGCAGTCCATTGCCATGGCAACCATGTATTGCAAATATACTGTGCAGACTTTGAGATAAGCAYTCGTTTAGTAAGCACAGGTGGCCTTCCCAGAAAAATACATCAAGAATGCTCACTGCAGAAAAACAGATAATTTCCATATGGTCACATTTTCTAAGAAATCAAGTTGCCATGGAAAAAATAACTCCAGATATTCACAAAAATCATTAAAATTAAATGGGAAAAGTGCAATATGTCTTGTTGTGAACTTTAAGAATTCACYGATCCCTTCTTTACATAGATTTATCACCAGACAATGAGCAGTTTTCCCAGTGGAATTGAAACTGTCTGAGCAACAAACACAAAATTAAATATTTTTACTAAATTCATTAGCTTTTCCTGATGAACATTTAAAAAACATATAGCACAAGGCAATTTTCTATATATCGCAGCAAACGGTATCATTTCCATGCTCTATATCAAAGGATTATAATTGCCACTTGTCCAACATAGCAACTACGGAGGTAGTACAATGAATCTGGATCAGTCAATTGATTGATGTATAGCATTTCAAAATGTAAGCAAATCACACAAAGATTGCATGGATAGACCATTTCTGAAATACAAATACACCTCATTGTGCATTGTGGTCTAGCTTCATTACAAACAACACCATATTTGGCAGCATGAACAAAAGATGTTTGTACTGAATCTAGACCACAATGCAATGTAAAATGCTATCTCAGTTAGTCAATGATCTTAAAACCCAACCATCCACTAGCTCATCACTATCCATTCAATGAATATTCCTTCAGCCCTCATCATCACAACCGTTTGCTTCGGGATTCCTGTCCTCTTTGGGACAGGTATCCTGAAATGAAAATAGTTTTGAACAAGCCTATCATATCCTTTATATTGTCATAATTTTACAAGCATAATGCTTTCATAACCGGGCTTTGATATGAAAAGCTTTCCAATATCTGCCGCACTGACATCATTCTATGAGCTATAACTAATATTGATTGTTGATGTATAAGTTCTATCGCAAATAAGCGTGTACCCCTACCAATGAAAGGTCTCCCCTCTCTGCAGTGAGGACGTTCATCTCTATGTAGCATTTGCAGCAAGGTCGCTTCATTCATACCAGCACTAGCATATCTCTCTTCTTTCTTATAAACCTTGACAGCTGCTCTTGCGCCTCCATTCAAACTTCCTTCGWTGCAGCAAGCCTCGTAAACTGTACAACATTTTCCCTGGCCTAAAAAGCCCTTGACTTGCCATCTTTCGGTTCCACCTTCAAGGATATGGCCCTCTTTTAGCTCCATGAGGAAAAGYTGGGTTTGTGTTTCCAAAGCTCGTGAAAAGTCGCTGAGAATGCGAGAAAGTCTTTCAAGCTGGCCGCCATTTTTGTTATGAATTTGTCCAAGTGACAAAAATGATTACCAAGGGGGAGGTACAGTAATGCGGAAATATTTAGTTATCTAAATCCGTAAAATTTGTAATTAATAAGATATCTCTTTACTTTTTTGATCTATTTTAAARATTTCTAAGCATTTAGTTTATTTTTAACACTATATAATTTTAGGAAAGAAATGAAAGAAGTTTGGAAAAGTGAAATAGATCTCCCCCCCTCCCCCTAAGTAGGCCAGCGGATCTTTGCGAGCATGCTCAATATGTGGTAAACACGTGCAAGGTACAAATTTGAAAATGTGAAGTTTATCTTACGAAAAAATGCATTCTTCTTGCTCGAGAACATCTGCAGAGGACGSCGATTGCAGCTCAAGAAGTAATATWAACTCAAAAGAAACTCTAGATCCTGACTATGCGCCTGCTTTTGCWGAAAAGAATACKTCTAAAGCGACGCTAAATGTACAACAACAAGAATCCAAAGAACTTACGGTGAAGAAAATTAAGAACATCGTACGAAATCAATTTGCTTTGGAGATGAAGTTAAAAGAACAAGAAATTGAGACGATAGATAATAATATACGTCAAACTAAACTCGCTTTGGATAGGATTCGAGCTTGTGTATTGGCGAGGTACTATGGCATGTCAGAGGTTTCGAATAGTCCTGCAAACTTGGCCTGGCCGAAACCCAGACGAAGCAGACGAGAAGCGGCTTATAAACGCTTGGATAGGAAACCAAGTCGAAATTCCTTGTCTACAACTAGTGAAAGCGCTATGAGTGCATTGAAAAAGCCTAGTGATACTGGCAAAGTGGATAACAAAAAATCTTATRTTAATGCTCTGAATTGTAGCACAAGTGTTACTTCAGAAATACAAACTCCAACCTTGTTGGCTGAGTAYAATATGGCAGATGAAAATGRAAAGAGCTCAAAACCWAACTGCTTTAAAAGCAATAACCTACTACCTGGAAATCTCAWTGARACAMGGAGYGTCAATATGAAAACTGAAACTMTGTCAWCTTCKCRTAAATCAATGGAGGCAGACCAYATAGRGAAKCCRTCTACTGTCCACAGTTCTACCTCTGTCAATATTCTCCCAGGATGTAGTAAAGACTACTGTTTAGAGCAMAGTGATTCTTCAAAAACTGGATGCAAGTCTTCTGGTCCAATTATGCATTTGAATTCACTAGYAACTTTGGCAGCTGAGAAAGTCAAAGGTGACGCACATAAACAGTCATCTTTGTCAAATACAAAAAATGAAGATCACACAACACAAATRAATAGATTAGGATCCAAGCTAGACTCAAATAATCMTCCAAAAACTCAATCATGTGGTTCAGGCTCTAGATTTTATGTCAAAAAGCGAGTKATAATTGGYAATACWTCAAAATACATCCCCCCAGACAGACGYGAAGAAAAGGACAARTCAACYCATAAGTGGATGGTTTATGTTAGAGGYCCACCTGGTGACCCTAATATTGACACCTATATTAAGAAGGTGTGGTTCTTTCTGCATCCAAGCTACCGCCCTAATGATATTGTTGAGATCAACAAGCCCCCCTTCCACTTAACYCGGAGGGGGTGGGGTGAGTTTCCCATCCGGGTCCAGTTACATTTTGTTGGATCATGGAATAAAAGAGTTGATATCATTCATGAGCTCAAGCTTGATAAAACTTATACTGGTTTACAGACCTTGGGTGCTGAGACTGTTGTTGATTTGGAGATTGAYAGAAAGACCTTTGAAGATCTTGGGATCCCTGTGCCTTTGGATAGTCAGATCATCCAAGATGACCCTTTGATTGACAGTGCTGTTTCTGCCAGTGYTACTAATGAAGAGAAATCAAAGAGAGAGTTCCCATTGGAGAACCTAGAAGAGAAGGCAAAGCATTCAGATATTCTCATCGATACTCAGGTGAAGAAAATAAAACTGGACACATTGTCAACGTTGTCAAGCCCGAATGTCAGCAGAACTGGATCAAGATGCAATAGTCCTGTGCATTTTTCAAAAGGTTCTTTGTCTGATGGTGCGTTACAGGAACAACTTCACTTCTTTGCTGATCGTATTCCACTTATAAGCTCTCAAAAGGATGTTTATCATGCCTTCTGCGCAACATCAGTCGACCAGTTTTTTAGTTGGAATGTTGGTAAGAGAAGAGCTTCTGAATGGCAACGTGCGYTAAAAATTCGCAATAAAATACGAAGTGCACTCAATTCATCTAAAATCACCACAAAGGAAGTGATGATCTGGTGTCGTCGACATGGCTACACTCCTCAAAGTAACCTCGTCACAGAACAAAACGTTTCTTACTGTAAAGTTTGTGGAAGACTTCTTGACAATGAGAAGCTCACAACTCCTTYTAAGTCAAACTTATGCCATTGTTTAGCTTCAAYGACGAATTCATCCACATTGAGTTCCGCTTTGGATATTTTAAAACAAGTTGAAGCCAAAGGCGCGCAATTTGAAAACAGAGATCCAGACATTGAAGATGTTGAAGTCGATGTTGTTAATCTTCCAAACTCTCGCCCGGCGAAATGCACGTCTTCAAACCAAAAGCACATMCTAACGACTCAAATGACTCCAGAGGAACATTGGGTAAGAGATGTGTGCAATGAAATCGGTGTTGGTCTTCGACCAGAGGTCATTGAGGGAGTAGAAGTAAACAGCGTGGAAAGCGCATTGTTTTCAGCTACGAAACAGTTTATGAAGCAGCTTATGCATWCTGCTKTWGCGTTAAGCAATGACTSYAAGTCATCAYTAGATGTTAAACTACTTGTTCCTAGACATATCAGCGAGGCTATTGGCCGTTTACCTCATTTTGACTTTCTCAGTAATGCGTACTTTGGTATGGACAGCAACAATCTGAATGACACAGAAAATTAAACTCGYGGGGGTTGRGGGGCATATATTCAATATACAATTCATATTTATAATGRCACAATGCAGCAATTAAATTATTTTATACTCAATTTTATCTCTTGTATTTCTCTCTTGTTTTCACTAGAAAGTGCAAAAAACGGGTTTGAAGGACTATAACCTGAGTATCAGGCTCTCGGGGGGCCTGATACTCAGGTTAGAAGGACTATATAGAGGATATTGCGTGGGCGCGCGGGGATGCGGATTTTATCTTCGAGTATTGAAAAGATCTCACGAGTGAGCGTGGCGAAAGTTATTTTATTTATTATATAATTGTGTATGAAAGCAAATTATGCCGTAAAATACATTTTTTCTTACTTCCACTATATAGAGAAACCTCGAATGTGTTGTTTTCACCAGTGAATGTGTTATTTTCACTAGTGAAAATATCAACTTTACGAAACGTAGAAATATAGGTATTTCATGGATAATTATATGAAAAATATAATTATTACTGATATTATCTTGTAAGCAAAATGAATTCAGAAGTCTTGGAT